CAATGCATAGTATGGAGATGACTGACGACGAAGACGATGGCGACGTGGGCAGTGATATCGTAACTTCATCGCCAATTATATTGCTCAGAAAAAACGATTCTTCTACAAAAGTCAGTTTTATTGGAAATTTCATTAGAAGATTTTAGGTCTGTGACATTCTGCTTATCATTCCGTGCCTGCATTGATAGATCTTTATTCAGATTTTGAATCGGTCAGGAAACTGTACTTTGCCAGTTGCAAAGGCACAAACGAAAAAGCTGCAAGTTATTTTGTCACTTTTGGGTGAGAAAAGGGACTCGAAAGACATGAAGGAGGTTGGAATGCAATGGCACTACATAAACAGCATGATATCCTACGACAACATATATGTTTAGATAAGAAAACTTATCAGCAAGTGGCAAAACAAAACGCGAATTGTTACATTAGAAGAGGAGGCAAGGAGAAAAGAAGTAAGCGTATTGAAATTGGAAGCTGGCTGCTGACAGAAATTTTTCCACTTTCATGATCGAAATGAAAATTGTAGGATTTCAGATTTCCAAGGCTTTGCAAGACCTTATCAACAAGTTTGATGAAGTTAATCTCGAAGTGGTCAAGAATGCAAGTAAGTCCAGCTTATTTTGAAAATTATCCATTAATATTTTTGCTCTGATATCCCTTCGACATAAACCAAAACATATTCGAAATGCACATGAGATAAAAGTGCCACTTCTTTCCCTTCTAACAAAAGCGTTTGATGAAACCCTACAATCTCGAAAATTGTGATCTCATTTTGAAGATGAAAAATACAAAATCCCAAGTTTCAAAAGTAGCCGAGCATGGACAATCTTGAACAAAATTAGAGTTTTGAGTTACATGACGTGCATTCTTACGATCCTATGCTTCATAAAACTTTTCAGTGATCGATGATGCTGATGGTGAAGACGATGAAAACGCAACGATTCCCTGCGAACAATTATCACTTATTGAATCGGATGATGAAGGTAAAATCAGCCACTTTGGACATGAAAATAGTATCATCAAGCATTTCGCTGAACTTTGTTCTAATATAACTTCCGATATTCCAGAAAATGTTGAGCCGAAGCACAAATTTGATCGTATTCTTCAAGGAGTAAAAAATGAAGTCCGTGATCATGTTGTAATCGAAGGTAATAGACATTTTGTGCACAAATATACTTATTTGATCTATATGTTTTAAGAGGGTGTTGAGAAGTTGATTCTCACTGGTGGTGATGCACAAGCCGATTTGAGCATAGACGCAGGAACAACTAATGTGCAAGTGGATGAAAAGTCGGAGCCTATGAACAAAGAGAGCGATATCAATCATG